TTGAAGAACACTACATTAGTAATTGTTAATAAGAACCTGTAAGTGACAATAAAGAAGAATTTAAAATAATATGTAAACTATAATATATCTGCTATATCCTGTACCAACAAGACATTTTGCCCCAAAACAGAGCTTTAGAGTTTGGGTGAAATACGATATAGTCGTTAATGAGCCATTACTTATATTAGGAATCTGCTTGACAACAACTGTTACGGTATAAACTGGAATAAATTGGTGAAAGTGTATTTTTTATGAATATCTATATTATAATACATCAGACAACCAGCAAAAACCCTCGCGACAAGAGATTTGTTTGTTTTTCGCGCAAAACTACTCGAGAGTTATCTATGTTAACTGTCCCTAATTTTAAAGCGATAGACTAACAAATTGGATTGGTCATCACATGATGACACCCCTCAGCTGGAAGGCCAAGTATGATTAGTAGGGGGATTCGATCCCGTGACCCACAGATTTCAAGAGATTTGTCCGGCCCTTTGAACAGAATAATGGGATTTACTGTCACTTTTATGGGCCACTCATAGTTCAAAGTGCGGATTGTTTTCTGCGGTTGTTAATTCTAATAATTAATATAGGAAATATGAGTTGCTGCCTAAAGCGCATAGCATGGCTAGTTTGGTCAATGTTCAGTTGGTACATTTTTGGTTGACTGTGCAAAATATTATTATTTTTGTTAATGTTGTAATCGAATCGTTTAAGTTTTCTCAACTAAATTACAAGTTCCTTTCATTTGACAATTCTGTTTATAGTAGAAATAAATTTTCGCTAATTATTTAACTTTTATTTTATGTCCAATATTTTAGCTTATGCATTTGATTTCTATCAAGGCATCTTACTACAATTTCAGTAAACAACTTTCTTGTAGTTTCTTAAATTAAAATCAAAGATGTTTCAAGTTTCGTTATCTCCATGATGTCAGGTCTTATGATATTTGTATGATCGTGTCCTGTTGCAGTTTGTGCAAAACGATTATGAATTTTTAAAGGACCACAGGACAAGTATATTGAATAGTCACAGTATTGTAATTTTAGGCTTAGGGCCTTAGACTAGTTTTTAATTTTAGAACAGAAATGTCTGTTATTCTTGAAACAACGCTAGGTGACATAATAGTTGATCTTTATACTAGTGAAAGACCAACATCATGTTTAAATTTTTTGAAACTATGTAAGAGTAAATACTACAACTTCACTTTGTTTCATAAAGTTGAACGCAACTTCATTGCACAGACTGGTGACCCAAGTGGTACTGGTAGAGGTGGAGAATCTGTGTTTTGCCGGTTGTATGGCGAACAAGCAAAGTTCTTTGACGCTGAAACAAAGCCAAGAATTAAGCACCGCAAACTAGGAACATTATCGATGGTGAATAATGGTAATAATATGCATGGTTCTCAGTTTTTCCTTACGTTAGGTGAAGATTTGGAATATCTTGATGGTGTACATACTGTGTTTGGGGAAGTCACTGAAGGAATGGATACTCTGATGAAAATTAATGAAGTTATATGTGATGAAGAACATAGGCCATATCAGGACGTTCGACTAACACACACAGTTATTCTCGATGATCCGTTTGATGATCCTCATGGATTGGAAATACCAGATCGTTCTCCAGAACCAACCAAAGAACAACTCAGCAGTGGGCGAATTGGTGCTGATGAAGAAATTGATGATACTAAAGGAAAGAGTATGGAAGAAATTGATGAAGAAATCAAAGATAAGACTGCTAAAGCTCAAGCAATAGTACTGGAAATGGTGGGTGATATTCCAGATGCTGATGTGAAACCTCCAGAAAATGTGCTTTTTGTATGTAAATTAAATCCAGTAACATCTTCAGAAGACTTGGAAATAATTTTTTCACGGTTTGGCCCAATAAAAAGTTGTGAAGTTATTAAAGACAGAATAACGGGAGAATCATTGCAATATGCTTTTATTGAATTTGAAAATGAAAGAGATTGTGAAAATGCTTACTTCAAAATGGATAATGTGTTGATTGATGATCGACGCATACATGTAGACTTTAGTCAGTCTGTAGCAAAGCTGAAGGAAGAATCAGTGCAAAGAAATAAGTTAGAAAAAGAAGTCAGACCAAAATATTCACTTAAAGATAAATCTTCAATACAAAAGGATACTTCGTATGAATTAATATTTGATGAAAGTGTTAATGTTAGTCCTAAGTTAAACTCAAAGAAAAAGAAAAAAAAACACAAAAGACTTGGAAGCTCAGATGGTAGTGACAAAGAAGTCAGAAATAGAAAACACAAGACATATGATTATTCAAGATCAAAAAGTGGTAAAAAACTGAAGCACCATTAGTTTAAACCATTCACAGATGTATTTGTTAAAAAAGAAAACCATACACATATGTATATAAACAAAATGGAATTAAATGAAGAAAAATGTATAAATTATTTGAAAGTGAATTGAAATATACCATTTTCCATAAATAAACAAAAAATACTAAGTTGAAATTGTACAAGAAGTAAAATTAACTATGTAGAACTGTAATTTTTTATATTTATAATGTTTGGTATTTGTGTATTTTTCAGCAAATGTAAAATTTGTCAAAGCATTTGTAAGAATATTGAATATAAGGAAATTATAAAATAATTTTTTCAATATATTAAGTATAGATAAGAACATCAAAAAATGAAATGTAACTGAAGGAAAATTCCAAAAAAAAGAAAGTGGCAGTTTTTAGCCTTTGATTTTGAAATACTTTTTCACAGAAACAGGTGTTCAGTTATTATTTTTATGATCTAGGGGAACATCAAACTTTGATTGGTTAAAAGAAACAGGAACTTAATAGAGGTGGGTGTGTAAAAGATAGTGTTGATTTCATAGGAAGGTATAGAAAAGGGCTATGAATGATTTTGGGGTTAAAAGACAGCCATAATGTTAGAATTAAATGTTTAAATTTTATTTTTGTTAGAACATTTGAGAAGATGGACTTTGTTTAGTAAGTAATAGCTATTTGGATGTAAAGGGCACATTTCAATGGGAGAATGTGACCAGTGAGGTACTTTAATGTTCTGTTTTTTCTTTGGGATCTTTGTTTTTGCTTAGGAATGAATTCTGTATTGGAACACTACCTTTATATTTACATGTTTTGTCTATTAATGGGTTATTTTATGTTTGTTTCATTGTACAGTTTTGTTGATTTCCCTGTTTTTTGTGGTCTTTTTTCCCTGTATGTTAGTTGTATTTTAGCATTTTCTTTTTCTTTTCTGATTAATAAGTTTTAATTAATTGAAGTCTTGTAGCACATGTTCTTACTAGAAGAAAACTGATCTTGCTATAAATTATATTGTTTTTATGATGGTTTTTTATTTTAGTTGGATTTATGATAATCTTCATATGTAGGTACTAGGTGTATATTAGGTATTTGATTATGTTTTTAAAATATACATACTTATTTTTCCATAAATATTCTGATAGATGAGGTGCAAAGTAATTTTGGTCTTTCTGCATGTAATTGTGTTTTTATTTACCACCATGTATTTTTTTTTATTAAACTTGTATGTGTTTCTAGATTTATGAAATTTTTACCATGGTGTATCACATGTGAAACTGTCTTTTAGTGTTGTGTGACTTTTGTATGTTTAACACCCTTTTCATTATGTTTATTAATGTTGCCAAAGCACTGTTTGTTTACCAGTGTTAGGAAAAGCTCTATAAGGCTCTTGTTTCTCTACAGATTCCATCAACTTTTCTATGTTGTATTTTCTTTTTGTGAATTTTGATTCATCAGTTTAAACTATAATTAACATTTTATTTCAACCATGTATTTTAGTTTTGCTTTTTTTTCCTCCAAGAAAAATTGCTACATCTGAACCATGTTGTTTGGATTTTTTTCTGATAGTTTTGAATTTTTGTTAGTGTTGTTTTATGTATCGGATTTCTGTTTTGGAGATAGAGCTGGAAGATAAGTGGAATTTGCTGATCAATTAATCATTGTCTCATTTACTGATAACATTTAACTAATTCATTATTCTGACGTGAGACCTGAATAGTTTGGTTAATGGAAAATGGTAATGATCAGAAACACTAATTTTGGTTAGTTGAGCATATTCATGAGTCTTGATATTATTCATTTAAGCTAAACAACCTTGGATTTATTGAAAATAATAATGAGTAATCATATTGGCAATATTTTTGTTATGTGGATAGTTGGAATAATTGAAAACAGTAATAATTGGAAACACTAATTTTAGTTAGTTGAGCATTTTGATGAGTCTTGACATTATTCATTTAAACTGAACAACTTTGAATTACTCAAAAGTAATAATGAGAAATCATAATGGCTAGTTGGAGTAATTGAAAATGGTAATAATCAGAAACACTAATTTATATTAGTTGATTATTGTACATGACACTAATTGATGTAGTGGATGTTCATAGGAAATCATTTGAATTATCATCCAGCTCTAATTTTGTGTAGCAAGTAAGTTTATTTCTTTACAACATTTTGTTGCCTATTTTTATCTTTTACAATTTGAGATAGCTTTAAAAGAATTATATATTTTTTTGGTAATTTAGTCAGTGTTTATTTTGAATGTTTGTACATCATCTGTTGTGTCCGAGTATTTATTGTATTTTTTTTTCCATCCCATTGTAGTTTTTTAATTTTTAAGGTGTCTAAGGATGCTTTCAGTACTTAGGTTAACATTTATATAACACCTAACATATAATCTTTGAGGAGTGGGCTAGTTACAGATATTTCAAGTTTGTTTTTTCAAGAATGTAAAAAGACTGCCAGTTTGCAACTTTTTGATATTTTGAAAAATAAACTTGGAGATTAATTGCAAATCAAATCTATGGTTACAAACCATGAAACCTGTTGGTAGAGAAATAACCTTTAGTTAGGAATGATGGAAGTTCATGAAACAAAAATCAATTTGTGTGATAATTCTTGGTTTTTCAATGAATATGAAAATAACATGTTGTGATAGAAAAGACAAGCTTTCTCTTTATACTGTATTAAATTATTATTAACAAGATGCTAGAATACAAAAATGAACAATATGGCAGAAAGCTACATGTAAAATCTATTTGGTCCACCAAGGCCACCCCGCTCTCTCTTGCAAATAAATTAAACCAATGATTTAATCTAAATATAGTCCTTTGCAGACATAATTATATGCAAAACAGTAAAATCAGTTTCACTGTAGCTATATCCAATGACAAATTAAGTTAATTTGAGCTACTCAGACACATTTCATCCTAACATAAAATATATAGGCAAAAAAAGATCATTTGGTTCTTCAAGGCTGTCCCAGAACACTCAAAATCAAGAAAAAATAAAAATTAAATCCACCCTTTATTTTTCAGGTAATTATTGGTTTCTATAAAAACTCTTGTAAGGTGGCCGTCTCCACTACTAACTTGTTCCATTTATAAGATTCTGTGGATGAAAGGGTTTTATTCTGGGTATAATTTAAGATTTCTTAACTTATTTTTTCTTTATAAAAGGAGGGGCAAGAAGTGAACTTATTAAAGTTTGCAAGTTTATCTGGGAGCTGGTTTTGATTTCTTTGTGTTTTATTCAAAAGGCAGAAGGATAATGGACACAAGTTTAAGATTTGGAAAGACAGACTAGGCTCCAACAAAAGAGTTTAATTAGTAACAGTGGTTTGGCTTATAAAATTAATTTCCTTTAGCAGTAGTGGAGGCTGGCACTTTACAAGTGTTTAAATGGAATCATGATGATTTCCTGAAACTGAAAGGTAGGTTTAGGTTTTTTTACTTATTTTCAAGGATGGCAGTGAAGGGACAGCCTTGAAGAATAAAATGGTCCCTTGTTGTCTACATGCTATGTTATCTCAGAAACCTTTCTGGGATAACAAAGTTGTTATTGTTTCTTAGATAAGAAGTCAAAAACTGAATATAGAATTCTATATAAAGCCTAACTAGTGATTTATATAGTGATAATTACCAATTTTTGACATGTAATCAATATGTATACATTCTAAATATCTTATTAGCTTGGCTACCAACAATAGAACACTGCTTTGATGGCTTAAGTGATCTACGTAATACTATGCCATGATCCTTTTCCTCAGTCACGCTGTGAAGTGGGTTTTCATATGTATTAAATGTGTCATCCAAATTATGTTACCACAGCTACATTATTTTGCACTTAATGTAATTAAAGTTCATTTGCCAAGTATTTGCCTAACTAACCAATTGATCCAAATCATTCTTCAGTATCTCAACATCCAAGAGTGTAATGTCATTTCGGCAAATGTTACTAATTATGCTTTTATTAATTTCATAAATGTAGAAAAGAAAAGCAAGGGCCCAAGAACCAAACATTGAGTCACTTCACTAGTAACAAGGGTCCAGCTTAGTATGATTTTACTCCATTTGTTAACATCTTTTTTGCTTTCTTTCATCTAACCATCCAATTTACTAGTCTTTCCTTAACCCCCACTAATGTGATTTTCTTAGCTTATATTTATGGTACCTAAAAAATGTTTAAAATGTAAGTACTCCAAGTGCACACCATTTCCAACATTCACTTGACACGTAACATCCTAAAAAAAAAAAGTCTATAGGTCATAGGGTTTGTAAGAGGTGTTGCCTATGTTTAACTATTGTGAAGAGATTTTAAATAGGTCAGTAGAACCAAAAATAAGTTGAAATATATGTCCCATTTGGAGAAAAGTGAGTGAATAAATTTTTGGGATCTATTTAATGGACAGAAAAATGTTATGGATTAGATAGTCTGTATTTCAGTGAGACAGGGGTTGACTTTTTGAAAATAGTACTATCCTAGCTATTCTGAAGACTTCTATTATAGAATGGTAAGTGAATAAATGTTGATTTGGGAGGTGCTTAAGGTAGTTTATAATATAGAATATAAAGATTGTGTTTAGGTTCAGTGACAAGAGGGATATAATGTCAACAGTAGAATTCATTTTAATAAACTGTTATAGGCAAAGGCTCGTGTGATGATACTATTCAAGTATTAAAAGTTTAAGAAATGGATGATTTTAAGGTATTAGTACAGATAAAAGATTTTTCATGTTATGGGGATTATTGAAACTTAGCTAACTTGGAAGATGATGATACAAATCATTTTGAAATTCCTGAGTGCAAGTTATTCAATGGTGATAGATTATTTGAAATTAAAGTATGTTGCTATTTACTTTACAGAATAATTAAAAATATATGAGCTGGAGGATATTAGAGTGGCTCTTGGTACGTAACTGTCAGAGGAGAAAGGTAACATAGAGTTTGTGGTTGATACAGGATTGGCCAAAACACTGGCAGAACTCACCATGTATCAGGCACTCAGAGCAAAACCACCAGTTGGGTCAGTCTGCTCAAACTTTGTTATGGTAAATGTAGATAAACTAGATCTGGACAAAGAGATGTATCTTCAAGTATACCTAGGAGGCATTGTTCACAGAACAAAGGTAATCATTTCTGACCTGAGTTTTAGCATCAGCATCCTTGTGATGAACATACTGTGGAGCTTATCAGTCAGTTTTGTCTGTGCAGCCAAGGAACTGATATTATGTGAGAAAGTTATCTGATGCTGATCAGACTGGGTCCAGTAATAGTGGACTGCATGAGAGAATATACACAAGCAGTGTTCCATAGTTTACTACAGATAAAGTCTAGTTTGCCATTTCCATGTAACATACC